AAGAGTCAATGACTGTAACAAACAGCTGCCAAGAATGTCATTATGATCGATTGCCACGCCTAAGCAGGTTCTCTCGTCGGATTCTCTGACGTAACTCTAATCGACCGATCAGCAGCTTCTTTCGTGTTCCAATCGAAGTGCGCGAAGCGAGGCGAAACAATGCGGCGGGGCCCAAAGCCCATAAAACAGGATACCGTATCGACGGTGAAGGAATCCGCATACCGGCGCAACAACTGAAGGAGAATTTTTCAGCGCCCCGAATAGTTTATGGAAGTCCGTCACGCTTCGCGGGTCGTGAGCGGAATGAAAGTGACGATTAAAAATTCCGGATCGACGCCCCGAGGAAAGTCGAAGGACTTTTCGCGACCTTTTTTCGCGAATCGGGACACGTCCGCGACGATGGAGATTGCAATATTGCGCGCGCGGTATGCATACCGAACCATAATCAGCGAATTTTTATATATCAGAGATGTATCTTTCCCAAGATCTCTTGGAAAATACATCAATTAAACGTACTTTGATATTATCATCTGTGATAAGACTTTACTATGATTTTTTACTTCGTTTTAAATTTATCGCAAAATTATATTATTATAATATAAATATACTTACGTTATTATTTAATATAATATTAATATAGTATAAATTTTTATATTAATATAATATTAATATAATAATTAATATAAATATAATATAATATAATATAAATATGTTATTATAATATAAATTTTTACTACCTATTTTATACCTATTTTGAAATTATAAGCCTCTTTCTATATTGCAGTTCTATTTATATGTAACATGTATTAAATATGTATTAAATTTATCAATATATATTAAAAAATATTTTTAAATTAATTTAAAATAATACAATATATATGTTAAAAGCGTTTTTTCGTCTATGAAAAATATTTTTATCGTGCATTGCAATCTGTAAAAATCTTAGTTTTAACGAAGTTTTAACGATACTATCAGTTTAATGTACAAACTAATTAATGCGTTAAAAAGATTTAATTCTGCTGTGCAAGACCGATTAAACCTCAAAGGGTTTGATACCATCTCGAGTTAGATGTAGATCTTGGATATACACTTTGCTTTCTCTCTTGATTTTTACCTGTACCTTTTACAATTCTATCTGTACATACTACACGTTGCCCCTCGAAAGATCACTGCGCGATTCTTTCCTTTCTAACGAGCAACGAGCTCGCGAGTAATTATACGTCGATCTCAATTTTATTTCTAACACGGAATTCAGCACGATCGTCAGGGTGATCTACACAAGATCTCTGAGGCAGAAAATAGATTCTATTCAATTGTACATGCTTTTACAGGGCTTTTCTCCGATTGCAGATTCTATCGTTAATGAAAAATATAATAAGTCATATAAAATATAATTTAACTTTCTGAAAATAGCTAATTGATCATTGAACGAATGTTAAGAAGAGAAATATGTACCAGTCGTATTTTCTGCTCTCCAAAAGGAAGCTGAGTACACGCTGAGTAACGATCGCCACGTTTTATGTGTCTCGCATTAATTTCTCTTTATGCTGAGGTCTTGACGCTCTTTTCCGCAGGATTTTAATTCCGACATTAAAATCCTGACGCGCGGACGGAGTTATATTCATTGACGATGATCTAGATAAGACTTTCGTTTCACAGTTATCGGGAATTCCCTCTCCCGGTAGAATGGAAACAGGATAATCACGTTCGGATAGTCACGTCGCAAGATTCTTCAAGAAGCGAGAGAGGACGTACAATGGAATTAACATAAGTGAAAATATAGGCGCGCTCATTCCCGCTATATATGGTTTAATCACGGAGATGAAATCCTTGGAGCTGAATCCCCTGACGGCGGCACGGGCGCAAAAATAACGCGTCGGTCTCTCGCGGATGTTCTACCACTGTGTATAATTATTTGTGTCATTACCGGCAGAATTGCGGTGGCACATTCACCGGGCGTTCCACTTTCGGCCTCTACCGAGGCGAACATCGCTTCGATGCGCGCCTGGACGGCGCTGTTCACCCTCTTCTGCTCCTCGGCGTTGGCGTCGTTGGGATTACTCGGGATCACGACCGACAATCCGGCATACCACCCGCCCAACGTCGAGCTGCAGATCGACCTAAGATGACCGAGATCCGTGAAATGAGATGGAGAAAATAACAAGCAGGATCGATATCGAATCACATTAATATTAATATTGCTATGTATGTACTTAATTGATATGTATTTAATGAACCGAAATGCAACGAGAATGCAGCTTTAAGAAGTTGAATTCACCTGGAGTCTTCGAACAGTGCATCGATCTGCGCCTTGCTCCTGAGGGAGCATTCCGATGGTGGTCCACCCAATCGAAATCCATCCTCGTAACAGGATATTCCTAAGGTCGACATGCTTCGTGCTGGATGTTACGCAATCCGTTCGATGCGCGCGAGTCTGCAAATTGTTTATCTATTGTGTTGTCCGCTGACGTCATTCGTTCTGAAAAGAAAATACACATCATTATCGCGGTGTCCTCAATAAAAAAAGAATTGAAGCTGATGAGATAATTGACGTTATTTTTTTCGTCGATCACATCTAAGAGAACATTGGATATGGTAATTATTTGTGTGTATACCTATTCTCTTAGCAAACCTTGCAACCTTGTGTTAAGTTAATCAAGGTTTCTCGAATGACCTGAATACGATATTAGTGAGTGGTCAGAGGCAAAGGATCGCACACATGTACAATCGGGTCCTTCGGCTTTCAACTGACTACTCGTGGTACTTACAATTAGTACCGAGTCATGGTGCGTTAAATTTATGCACGAACACGGGACGGTGCGTGAATAATTAAAATCAAGTAGACAGGACCAGGTCAGTCCCGGTACTTTTATACACACGAGATACACTCGGACAACGGTAAAAGTGATCAAGGATCAAGACAAAAGGAAAATCCGAACAATGAGTTCGCGATCGTCGATGCGTGACGGATAAAAACAGTTGACCGTGGCAGGCCGATTTTGAATTTTCTTGCACGTGATATCGCGATTATGCAAACGCGCGACTGGCGTATCGATCAATGTATTAAATGATGAAAGAAAGTCTTTTCTTGCTACATTTATAAACACAAATTAGGCTAATAAAGAATGCTTTACTCTTTTGCCTTGAATCATCAATATCAAGGTCATTGTCCCGCAAACTAGAAATCGTAAAAACGGTTATTTATGAGAACACATGTAGAAAAAAAATTGCGTGTTTATCTGCTGCTACGGATTTCACCGGCAATTCGTGAGGAGACTGCACGCATTTCTTCATTAAGGCGGTACGCGCGCTGCTTTTTTAATTTACCTCTCGAGAAAACGGTGTCCAAGTGTGCGAAGCCAATTTCGACAAATTTCTAAGCGGTTTTTGTTTTTTTTTTTTAAATCAAGAAGAGCATAATGTAAAATTATATTTTACTAAATCTCAGATATAATAGAGGAAATAGTTATACGATAGTTATATTATATTTAAATATACAACTATATTTTATATCTATTTTATATCTTATCTGTGTCCATTGTATGTTACATTTAATCTTTACCCCAAATTTTTTTTCCAAAATATTGAAAATTTCCAAAATATTTAACATTTATTTCTGTCCCTAATATTTTCTTCATTGTGTGCAAGGTGTTGCAATTGAAAATAAATTTAATAATTGCAATCTCATAAAGCAGACGGGGTTAAATGGAAAATTTTATGTCAGAAAAATGCGCTATTTTTCGCGATATTTTTGCGATCAAGAGTCAAAGTATACGTCTATTACTAGTCTGTCGTGCTTTAAGATTGAGTCTCCGCACGACTGCTCACAGTTAGGCTTTACAGTTATGGACCAGCTGGATGTGGCAGCAGCCTGGCCCGACCGGCAACCAAAAGGTGTCAATGTCGACACCGGTCCGATATTACGCACGCAATCCGGAATAACTGTCAATGCGTGCTTCTCTCGTGAACTCGAGCGCATGCTGACCTCGCATGCTGACTGTTCGCGTTTACTACATGACTTGAAATCGATTGCCAAACAACAGCTACAATTACGATTTGAGTTACGGTTGATTGGGCCAACGGCAATTGATGGCATTTCGTAAAAGAGCGCGGGCTGCGTCACGGTAATCATCCGTGACGTCGGATAATTAACAGGGCCGCCTTCGGTCGCACGTACGCCCTGTGTAATCGAAACGGAAGTTTTCTCTTCGCTCTACTCATGGTAAATAGCTGTTGACATTCAATTTTCGCTTCATACGGCCTAAAATATAGCGATGCCACTCATTATGTCGTGAGATCGCTCGCGAGGAGACTGCCTCCTTGCTCATCGCCTGAAGCCGGCCCTGAATAATCACCGCCGGTGAGCTTCTTGATGCCGGTGACCCAGTTTCGGTTTTGCACGCCACCGTAATCACCGCAGCAGCACGAATCTACTTGATCGACGTTATTAACAATATAAGAACTACGCCGAGCTGAGGATGACGTTTGAAAAATTAACGTTGGCCAGCGCCGCGTAACGATACGAGAGATCCGCGAGCGCGGACGTTAGAGGAATCGCAGCGAGGAAGAAGCAGCGACGGGAGACGAAACGATTCGCTCGCGATTGCCTAATCGTGCGCGCTCTATCCGCCAACGAATGGTCCACCCGTTTCTCTCCAAGAGCAGCGTCTTGTTTCCATATACTGTCGGAAGCGGCCGGCGCGGCGACGCTCTCGAGCCAACGGTATTAAGGTCGGCGAACAGATTACGGCATCACGTGTCGGCGCACCGTAGAGCTGGTCGATATACGCGCTCGACTTCGATGCGTGCGCGTCGTTCAGCTCGCAATTACCAGGTTCACGGCTCGTTTCCCGCCTGCATCTGCTTTAATGGATATCGAGCCGGCCGATAATCACATGCGTGAGACGTGCACCTCGATGCATCATCGGCTCGATCGGTCGGTCATTTTCTTAGCGGTGAACGTGCCTTCAAAAGGCACGTTCGGTTCCGGGAATTTTAGAAACTCGGTAATTATCGAGCGTGACCGGAGATTTCATTTCGCATGTTAATTTCAGACGCGCGGATTCAACGGCCGCCGTTAATGCTCATGAGATATCGGGATCAATCAGTTTTAAAGTTGAAGCAGTTGAATTTTGAACAAGGAGCGATTTATATAAATCGTCATTCCGTCACGCACGGTGATTTGAATGTCGCGGTGTTTGTTGTTGAGTTGAAAATATATATACAAGACTAATTACGATTTACATCCATGAAATCCATGAAATTCTGTTGCACACATTGCATTTAGGTACTGGATGTGACAGATAGACTTATTTCCTTTTTTATGAACAAAACTTGGCACATTTATGTCACGACATTGATGAGACTAATCGAATATACCTGTTTGATCCTTGTCACTCTTTCTCTTGTACTCCTTGAAATGAACTTCAACCATCCGATTTCGACGTCGCCACCCTGGCACAAGTGTCAATCGTCCAATCAATTCGCACTATCATATTATTATATCAGGTACTCGGAGAGATCTCACGAGAGTTCGGCGAACCGGGGTCATTCGCGAGAGCGTGCCGCGCCATGACGTGTCTCATTCATGATCGCTCGCCAATCCATCTCCTCTCACTGGCTTCTCGACGAGAATCCTCCTCCTTGCAACCGCCGACCTTGGCCGCGAGTCGAACCGGATGGCCGTCGACGTGAAACTGCCGGGGATGTTCCGCAGAAGAGGCCCGAGTTCCTCTAGCTAGTGAGTCGGCGCCTCCGCGCCGCGGAACGGACAGGAGGAGAGGGATGAAGATCGGCGGAGAGAGAAAGAGAAGTGCGAGAGGAAGAGCGAGAGATCATTTCTCCCGATGCGCTCTCGGCCGTCGCGAACACCGGCTACTCTCTCGTTAGACGTCCGGAAATCTCGTACTAATGATACCGCGTTGATAAACTAAACTGGCACGCCCCACGATATTGCACTTTTGCCGGATAAGACGCTTTCTTCCCTCGTCATTACATCCGCTATTATCTAAAGAGATAAAGCTCCACGGTGAAATTTTTTTCTCGACGTCTCTTAGAGACGAATGTCTGATTCATCTAAGCGCCTTGATTCGTGTACTTTGGAGCAATTTAACGAATGATAAGAATACAGTACGATTTTATCGAAAAAACATTTCTCCTTTTGTTTTCAGCATTAGTACAATTTCTACTGATGTAGCTTAACAATTATCTTGGTTTAATTTTTACTTTTTATCCTTTTTATCTTTAAAAAAAAAAAAAGAGATAAAAGATAAATTAAATCAAGATTACATAATTTATATTGATAGAAAAGGACATTAGTCGAACAGAAGTAAATTTTATTTAATATTATTTCTCTTTATTTTATTTGCGCTTACGATACAGATGCGGCCGATTTTTCGAGCGCTCTTCTCGCATTTGTTTCTTCCGTTTTTGTCTCAAGATAAACGATAAAAAAACCAGCGCGTTTCGCGCGTATACTACGCTACATATCACACGCGTGTACTTTGATTGACCGATATCCTCGCGACTGGTTTCGAGGTGGGTTAGTTACTCGAATGGTGCCAAGAGGACCGGTAAGGCAAACGCGGGAGAGGATCACTCCGAACGAGGGAGCGGAAGAACGACGGGGAACAGTCGGGTGGACCGTATGGCGTCGTCTCGATCTTCTGATTACCACCGGCTATTGGAAGCCGGTGCGCACGCCGTAGTAACGTCGTAACCGGTAACGGTACCGCGCTTCTCGACGGTGTTCACCGGACGGACGGACGGACGGCCGCACCAATGTAAGAGTACTGTTATTCCAACTATGCGGGCTCCCTGCGCGCTCCCTCTCTGTCTATTCCGCCACGGCTGTCTCGTCGCTCCTGCATCTCCATCTCGTTTTTTCTTCCGTTCCGCCTCCAGTGTTACCGTTCGCGTTCGTTTATCAATCCGGTTTCTTTTTTTCTTTCGACGAGTAAGATTTGGAAATCCCGTCTGTCGCCGAGGGGATGGGTAATGGCATCCGGGAAAATCATGTTTTCCCGTCTAACGAGATTTATCGAGTGTCGCAATTTGATTTACGTTACTTTCAAAATTTATCGAATGCGTTGGTATAAGTGCCGAAATATATGCCGAATCCGTGAATAATGAGTTGTCGGTATTGTTAGTAATAAACTTCCGTATATCGTGGAGAAAAACATATCGTTGAGAGAAACGTACGATCGCCCGAATCGAATCCCGTGTCTGGCGTAATTTCTGTCGCAATTTACTTTCATTCGTATTGTTAGCCGCTGCAACGCCCGTGGATGGGAACATTGCTGACATTAACTTATACCTAATAGTGAGAAAGTCGAGCTTTACTGCCTGCATTTAATTCTGTGCATTATCTCCATTTTATCTGTATTACAAAATTGCAGGCCATTGGTGAAGCACTCGCGCAATTACGATCGTGACGTTCTTTAAGGCGAGGCGCCTTATTTCTTTGAATAATGTATTAATCATTTCCGTTTTAGTAGGTTGATTGTATGAATATCATTAATAAAACATAAAAATAACTGTTAATACCATTACATCTTTAATAATTATATATAACTGTTTGTGTTAGTTTGAAGAAAGTCGCGCGAGTGCATTTAAAAGAAAAAAACAAAAATTTATAAACTCCATTGCGCGCGATATTTCCGCGGAGATCGATGGAGAGAGATCCGTTATAGATAAAGTTAGCCATCGTAATCCATCGGTTTTATGCATCGTGCGATTATGGCCTACGGCTCTCGTAGGTATCGTCCGGCCACACAGCAGGTGGCATATGCCTCGTAGCCGTGGAACGTTTTGCCTTAGCGGGAGGCTGTAGGAACTGCCAATTTCTCACGAAGGCAATCCCGCATCTGTTGTCCGTCCTTTGAAAATCACGCGAATGCTGCGTCCAAGCCGGATACCTCCGATTAGACGGCATGCCATCGACGGTGCCGTTGCACCGCTATTTCGCGGGGTTTAGTTCATCAATCCAGTTGTTGGTTCGTTCCATATCTGCCTGTCGAATGCATGTCTTATTTCTCGTTACACATATGCACCCCCCACGAACCGGCACGTTGAGTCGGTTAAATATTTAATGAGAAGCGTTCATTAAGAGAGTTTTGATCTCGGAATCAAGAGAGGTACTAATGATCGGTAATTTTCGTAATTGGGTGTATGGACCGACTTCGGATAAATGTGATCAATTAATAAATTACACTCGATTGTCACGGTTACAGCGTGCTCCTTTATTTTTAATTTCGTGGACTTGGTTGTATGTAAAATCAACGGAAGTCTTCGTCGCGTGTGATTGCGTAAAGCTTTCAAAACCACTTAAAAGGATTCCCACTGGCGGAAGTATCGGCGACTATCGATTTGTCACGCAGGCAGGCTTCGCAGCTGTTACCTCGTCTCCTCTAGACGCGGAGTTCCGTGTTTAAACGCCGTTTTTCCATTAGCTAATTGCGGAAACCTCCCATAACTCAACAATTGCTCGTTATTACTTTGTAATACATTGAAACTGCATTTAAAAACCCTCGCAACGGGATATACGCAACTCTCTTCATTTGGAAATCAAATGAAGACATTAACAATGTTTTGGAAACATTAATTTCTGAAGCGTTATTTTAATAGAATAGCCAATGCGTTTATGAGTTGTAGCATTCCATAAGCTTCAAATAAATAAATATGAAAAATAAATATGAAAAATTATTTTTAATTTAAAAATTTTTTAAATGTTGAAAAAAAGAAATTCTTATTATTTGTTTCTAAAATATTAGATAAAAGATAATAAACATGTCCGTCAAAATAATCAAGCGTGGATCGATTACGTTCGCGGTACCACTCATTAAAATCACCAAATATATTATCTCTGGACGATGTAGCATCCGACATCTACCGGTGAGTGTATCGAAGTACCTCTTCTTTAGAAAGTAAATCAGGTCTCGTGCTGCTCAAGCAATCACCGGACATTATTTCGGACACGACACGGCCGGCATATTAATTCATCTGCTATATCATTCAATCGCCCTTAAGATCGACAGTCCCCCGTCCTCCTCTCTCCCCATTAATCATTGTATATCCCTGATCTCCTCTCTTGTATTTATTTCGAATTTTCTCCTTACCGTATCCTCCTCACCGATGCTCCTCGATACGACCCTGTTTGCGCGCTGCGAACCTCTTACTCCAGATTCGTCACAGTCGCCGCAATGTGCGTGATGCAATTACATAGTCTGCTTCCTTCGAAAAGGAACGTTTGATGGGCCCATTGTCATCGTCAAGACAAAGAGACGCGGCGAAGCGCGAGTCTGCGAAAATAGCTTCACGAACGCTTGACCGGCTAATAGATCTTTACAAGTAGATACTTCTAAGTGAATGCAATAAAAAGATTACGTTTATTGCCGATTATGTTCTTCTTTTTAGTGAGAGACTTTACGGAACAGATCGTTGAACGGATACATTGCTAAGCATGCGTCAACGTTTCTTATGTCATATTTAAAGACGTATAAACGACGTATATAGTATTATACGCTCGACAGGTGGTATTAGAATAATTGCAATTCCGTCTGTTGTTGTAATTGCCGTGCATATGCAAGTATTAAGCCGACCGCTTTGCACGGCAAACGATCGTCCGTTATACTGCCACCTGCACCGTTAGGAATTAATTTTGTACGAGATATTAGAAATGTCATAATCGTTCGGCGGGGGTTGGACGAATCGCGCCGACGCAATGGACGGATGATTAAAAAATAATTTCGTCCCTGACCTCGATTTTTTTCACGTCCGATACATCTGTGCGAGTGTACGCGGTTAACTGTAAATCGCAGAACCACCATCTAACTGTAATTCGAGCTTTCAACTCGCGCGGTCACATTACGTTATCGTAGGAATTTAAGAATGCTAAGATCGCTATGCCGTCTCTGCTAATCAACGATTCGTGAAGGCCATCTCGAATGTGCACTATGCCGATATTAAAATTTGTAATGGGGAATATTAAATTGCGAAATTTCGCAGCAGCTGGAACGAGACGAGTTGCATTCTCACAGTCGTATCATCGCTTCTTCATCCGACTCGCGCATTACGAATTGCACTATTTATTTGTACTATTTATTTTGATTCTGAAATTAAAAAAAAACAATATACATAGTGATTTCCGGATTATTCATTTTGTCAAATCGGATGAGCCTTGGCGATCTCGGGACGACTTGGATTGTAGGGATTGAAATAGACGCATAATTAAGAACATTTTTATTAATTTTCGATGTCTAGTTAATGATATTTTATTATTTGTTGCGACAAAACGCGTGTACATTACATTCACATTACTTTTCTATTTATGATATTAACCTATGCATATACGCACACGCGGAAGTTTAATCGGCGACGCGATGCACTTTCGTCGCGAGGGAAAAGCGCGGCTTGCGCAACGTCGCGTATTTTCGCATTTTCTTTTCAGAAGAAGATAAGACTCCATCCTCATTCCTTGCCGTTCGTCTCCGCTGTTCCGCGTGTGCGTATATATACACATATATGTATATATATATATATATATATATATATATATATATATATATATATATATAA